ACGATGGAGAGGAAGACGAGGACGACGAGAGCGACCTCGTGGACGCGGACGCTACTGTACGATACGAAGCCGATGGTACGCGCGTCGACTCGGACGCGTCGAAAGGCAAATCGAACGATTTTCCGGTGGTCATGAAACCACCGTCTTTCTCGTACCTGACGCCGGGCGGACACGTGATGTATCTACCGGAATCGAACGGGACGGAACGTCGAGCGCAGGGTTTCGACGCTGATAGAATCGACCGCGAGAACGACGACGAAGACGACAACGACGACGTTATGCCAGCGAAACGACGATCGAAAAACTCCAGAGATTGCGTCGACGCGAAAAATTGCAGAGGCCGAAAGGAAACGTACGAGGCTAAGAGGGCGTCCATCGTTTGCGAGCAAGGAGCGTCGTCCACGAGCAAACAGACGTCCTCGCAAGCGACGGAAACGAAACCGCAACGAAAGAGCAGACGATTCACTTTTCAGTCGACCGTCAGGCAAATAGAGAGGCGCAGACTGGCCGAGAAGCTGTCGCGGGAGGCCGAAGCGAAGGAACGTCAACGAAAGGGCGAACTGGAAGCGATGCGAAAGGTCGAGGAGGAATTTCAGCGAAAACGCGCGAAAGAGAAGGCGAACATCAGACAACAGTTACGCTTGTTCAAAGAGATGGAGGAAAATTTCGAGTAAGTAGCAGTTTTAAAGCGATCGCGCGAAATCCGAATGCCGCGAGTTGGTTGGTTGGTAATTGCAGTAGTCTGGCGAGTTCGCAATGGGACGATTCGCGGTTGTCTCGCGCCGATCCGGACGGCGCTCCGTCCTCCACCGCTTCCTCTCCGACCTCTATGCCGATCGGAAACTCCTCCGTCGTCCCGTCAGGGAAAAATTTCGTCCACGAGGAACATCGCCGCAAGAGAAACGTCGGCTCGGACTCGAAGAAACGACGTGCCGGCGAACGTGTCGGTCATCGGCCGAAATACTACGATTGGGCGCCGGACGCCTCGTCGCACCTCGAACACAAGCAAACGACGGTCCATCCGAAAGTCGTTTGCGACATCCCGAAAAGTTCACCGGTATTCGTGGACGCGAACGTTCATTCGACCAAGCCGGTCGCGTCCAACTGCACTCCGAGGTCGGACAACTACAGGTAAAAACAGGAGAAGACTGTGTCTTTCTCGATCGTAACGTCGTTGTCTCGTTTCTTTTCCGTAGGAAGGATTTCGCCCACGGTGCCGTGATAACCAAGACTTCGTTCGCGAGCAGCGACAGCGAACTCTCGCAACCGAACACGAGACCGCATTCCAGACAAACAGGGACCAACGGCAAATCTTTTCGAGCAGGGTACGCGTCTTTCTGCTGTCATTTGTCCCGTGAAACGCGATCGCGCGCTTCCGCTAAAGTCATCTACTCTTCTCTCCCCCGTGAACTCGCGCTTCGTCGCGCGGTACGCGATCGCCAGCCGCTAATCGTCCGCTTTTAATTTTCGTTTTACGCAGGTATCGAGTTGGCCACGACGCGAGTAACTCCGACGCGCCTCTAGTCACCCCTTAACCACGCTTCGCCAAAGTCGCGCGAGCATGCGTCTCCCATCGCGAGATTCGAGAGGCGTAACGCTCGCGCGAATGTCTTGTCCGCGTACGTTTTTCGCGTTGAAGCCGCGTTTTTCTTTCCGCGAACCGCGCGACGAAACCGGTTAAACGACCAGTGCAAAGAAAACGAACGAACGTTGAGCAGGTCCGGCGGCAGTCCAGGACCGAGCGAGGAGCCGACAAACACGACGGACAAGGAGCGGAACGATCCGACGGAAGCTGCGGAACACGTCAAGAAAACTGTTCGCGATTTTACGCTGAGCGGAGTGCAACCCTTCACGAAGCGGAAAACCTACAGACCGATTTCCTTCAACCCCCAACCACCGCCACCGCCACCTCCGCCTATTCCAAGCTAACCGATCCTTCTCCTTCGCTACGAAGCGATTCCCTCGACTCGCCTACATTTAGCGTACGGATATACGTATGTATGTATTTATGTACATATGTAACATAACGGAATAAAATATCGTGTCTCGTTAAAACGTGACTGTCTCTTAATTCGAAAGTCCGCCTCGCTTCTGCGCAGTTTCCCACTCCGATTCTGCGCATGCGCCTATCCTCCCGCCTTTTACGTCGATTTATGCCAGTAAAATGGCGAATACGAATAACGTCGCGTCCAAAACGGCCGGTCCTTCATCGAGCACAGGATCTGCCACGACTCGTCGCACCACGCCTTCCGTTTCTGTTGTGTACGAGTCACTTTCTTCTCTCCTTTGTATCGTTCTCTCTATTTTACGTTGCGTCGTTCTTTCGAATCCGTAGACGGAGCGAATTCGAGTCGCTGATGTCCGATAGCAGCGGCGACGAAGGGAAAGCGGAAGGTATCAGCGATTTCGCACTGTTTTCGCCAACTATTTTCGAAAACAACGACGACACTTCTAAGGAAATCCGACGTTCAACGTTCGTTGCCGCGCGTGCTCTTACTATTCCGTCTTCCGCGTCGGTTTACTCCAGGAAAATGACGAACGCGAGCGAAATCGTCGAGAGTTGGCCACGACGCGAGTAACTCCGACGCGCCTCTAGTCACCCCTTAACCACGCTTCGCCAAAGTCGCGCGAGCATGCGTCTCCCATCGCGAGATTCGAGAGGCGTAACGCTCGCGCGAATGTCTTGTCCGCGTACGTTTTTCGCGTTGAAGCCGCGTTTTTCTTTCCGCGAACCGCGCGACGAAACCGGTTAAACGACCAGTGCAAAGAAAACGAACGAACGTTGAGCAGGTCCGGCGGCAGTCCAGGACCGAGCGAGGAGCCGACAAACACGACGGACAAGGAGCGGAACGATCCGACGGAAGCTGCGGAACACGTCAAGAAAACTGTTCGCGATTTTACGCTGAGCGGAGTGCAACCCTTCACGAAGCGGAAAACCTACAGACCGATTTCCTTCAACCCCCAACCACCGCCACCGCCACCTCCGCCTATTCCAAGCTAACCGATCCTTCTCCTTCGCTACGAAGCGATTCCCTCGACTCGCCTACATTTAGCGTACGGATATACGTATGTATGTATTTATGTACATATGTAACATAACGGAATAAAATATCGTGTCTCGTTAAAACGTGACTGTCTCTTAATTCGAAAGTCCGCCTCGCTTCTGCGCAGTTTCCCACTCCGATTCTGCGCATGCGCCTATCCTCCCGCCTTTTACGTCGATTTATGCCAGTAAAATGGCGAATACGAATAACGTCGCGTCCAAAACGGCCGGTCCTTCATCGAGCACAGGATCTGCCACGACTCGTCGCACCACGCCTTCCGTTTCTGTTGTGTACGAGTCACTTTCTTCTCTCCTTTGTATCGTTCTCTCTATTTTACGTTGCGTCGTTCTTTCGAATCCGTAGACGGAGCGAATTCGAGTCGCTGATGTCCGATAGCAGCGGCGACGAAGGGAAAGCGGAAGGTATCAGCGATTTCGCACTGTTTTCGCCAACTATTTTCGAAAACAACGACGACACTTCTAAGGAAATCCGACGTTCAACGTTCGTTGCCGCGCGTGCTCTTACTATTCCGTCTTCCGCGTCGGTTTACTCCAGGAAAATGACGAACGCGAGCGAAATCGTCGATCACTCGTCGAGCATCGGATCTGCCAGGACTCATCGAATCACACCTTCGATTCCCGCCATGTACGAGTATCGTTTCTTTTTCCTTTTTTCGTACTTTCCTTCCGTCTCTTCTCCTCGATACGCGATGCTCGTTCTTCGATCCACAGACGAAGCGAATTCGAGTCGTTGATGTCCGATAGCAGCGACGACCATGAGAAATCGACCGAGGAAATGGAGTTCGCGATGGACTCACGACCGAAAGGTACCAGAGAAGAAAACGTCGATACCGTGCCGATTCAAGCGCGTGTCTTCGAAGACAAGGACGAGATAGGTAAAGGTACGTGTCAGTGTTTGCACGATAAGTCGGTTTCTTTCGTTTCGCAGATCATTCTGTCGATGATCTGGAACAAAAGTAGGCTCGGCGCGGCCTATTACGACGTCGTTACGTCCGAATTGTTCGTGATGGAAGACGTAACTGACGACGCCGAGTATTTCGACGCGACGAAAGCACTGTACAAGCAATGTTTGCCGCGTTACGTGATCACGTATGCCGGCGTAGCTGTAACGTTCATCAACGCCTTAAAGAAGATGATAATCGGGGAAACGTCGAAGCAAGACTCGACGCATTCCTTCGATTCGAGGAGCACTTTGCGCAACGCAGAACTGAAGATAACCCACAGAAAGGAGCACAATTACGAGCGTTGTTGTCAGAGAGTACGTTGTTTGCAGCTGGATTCGGAACCTAAATACGCGACTAGCGCCGACAGACTGACGTTTTTGAACAGTATACTGAATTTCAAATGTTGCGCCATGATTCACGCTCTCGGATCGCTACTGTTGTTCGTTGATAAACACTGGAGCGATATCGCGTTAGATCGATCCGGACGACCATCGTTCGCGTCGCTTAATTTCGTTACGCTGTAAGTATCGATTGTTTTTCTTTTACTAAGATTTAGCCCCGTTACTTAATCGTTGACGATTCGTACGTTTGTCGCGAATAAAGTCGCGATCTGGTCGCGATGGACGAAGACGCTTACGAGGCACTGAACATAGTGCGAGCCAGGGATCATCCGAGTTTATTCAAGTTCGGCAAAACGAACGCGAAGACGAGGGGTACGAGCCTTTTCACTCTGCTCAGTGGTTACTGTCAGTCTCGACCGGGTGTACAATGTCTCTGGTAAATCGACTAATTATTATCGGAACATCGGAACATCGAAACGATCGAGTCGTTTACGATTTACAGGAAAACGCTGCATCATCCGACACGGAACCTGGCCGTGCTCGAGGAGAGATTGAACACGGTCGAATTTTTCTTGGAGCCGAACAACCGAAACGTCGTCGCAAACCTGTCGGGTTGCTTGAAACACGTGTATCGTTTGACCAACGCTATACTCGCTTGTTGTTCGGGACCGCGAGCAAAAGCGTCCAATTGGTATAAACTGCACAAGGTTGGTTTCACGCGGAGCGCCAAGAATCGAACGCCATTTTACCATTTTCTTTTCAGACCATTTCGCGTGTCATATCCATCGGCGACATCTGCGAGGATCACGCCGAGAAGATTCCATCGTTCCAGCGAATCGTCCAAAGCGTCAGCGCGGAGATGCGATACGTGAAGTATTTCATCGAATACATAGTGGATTTCGGCGAGAGCAGGCGAGAAGGAAAACTCGTGGTTAAACCGAACGTCGATCCTTTGCTGGATGAACGTGAGTAGCACAGCCTTTCTGGAGAAATGTTATTCAACGATCTTTTGCTCGTCCACAGTAAATCACGCGCGACGCACTTTGCCCGAACTACTCACCCGAATGGCGGAGAAAGACATGCGAGAGCATCTGCCTTCTTCGGCCGCAGGCTGCAACATGGTATACTTGCCAAATATCGGTTACGTGCTAGCGATAAATAAGTGGAACCCGACTCCGCCGGAAGAAGACGTTGTATTTGCCGATCTGGAATTCAAATTTAGCATCAACAATGTGCACTATTACAAAAGTTCTTCGGCTAAAGGTTCGCGAAAATCTATCTGCTTTTTTATTTCTCCTACGAAAACTGGCGAATTTTCTTTCAGAGTTGGACGAGACCGTGGGCGACATTATATTAAAGATCGCCGTGCGACAAAATCAGATCGTACAGAAGCTCATACGATACGTGAAAAAACACACCGGCTCGATTTTGCGATCGATTCAACTGTGCGCCGAACTGGACATGTACGTATACTCGATGCTATTATCGCCGATCAAAGTATCGAAGAAAGGTGGTTGCAGGTTGCTCGCGTTTCACGGAGTGGCGCGCGATTACGATTACGCGAGGCCGATTTTAACCGAATCGAAAACATTGGAAGTAACCGAGGGACGACACCCGCTGCTGGAATGCGCGTGCACGTTCGTCCCGAACGACATTCGTTCCGGAAACGGGAAAAGTTTGATCAAAGTGATAACAGGGCCAAACTCGTGCGGCAAGAGCGTGTATCTGAAACAGATAGGATTGGTGGCGTTCATGGCTCACATAGGCTGCTATGTGCCAGCGAAATCGGCCATCATCGGCACGCTCGATCGTATCTCGACTCAGCTGTCGAACACGGAGAGCATCGGTTTAAACGCCAGCACGTTTCTGCAAAATCTTCGACAGGTGAAACGTCGTATGTCGGTGAAAGAATAGGTCACAAAACGAAAAGGGGTCTTTCGATTTCAGATCAACGTCGCCTTTCGCGCGTCTACCTCCGCTTCTCTTGTGATAACGGACGAATTGGACCGGGGTACATCGGAAACCAGCGGATCGTCGTTGGTCGCTGCCGTACTGAACGCGTTCGCGGAAAAAGGTACCGGCTGCCCTCACGTATTTGCCAGCACGCACGCGCACGGCGTGCTCGCGCTGCTTCCTCGAACGCCACTGATCGAGATTCAGGTAATCGATACGAAAGTCTCTCGTTTGAAAAATCTTTCGAAATGTCCCCTCTTTGCGCAGACCTTCGAATACGAGGTAAACGAGGACGACTCGTTGGTTTTTCTCTATCGACTGATCCGCGGAAGTACCGCGCGCAGCTTCGCGCATTCTGCCGCGAGAGCCGCGGAATTGGACGAGACGATCGTCAAACGGAGCCTCGAGGTAATTTCGTCCATCATAGGCGGTCGTTTTATTTGAAAAGTATATCGAGTCGCGCTTCCGAATTCGTTGCAGGTGTTCGAGAAGATGAAGCGAGACGCGCTACCTTCGCCGATTCATCGACGCTTTGACGGGTAAGATCGCGCGCATTCGAACGTGCTCGTGCGATTCGTAAAATGAAAACTTCGATTTCAGGGTAAAGCGCATCGTGGAACTAGTCGAAGCGAATACGGACTTTGACTTGGACGAGCTCAAATCATTGGTGCGGCAGACCATACTTCCGAAATAATTTTCATCCCGTTTCGTATTACACGCGTTTACTTTTTTATTTGAAACGCACCGTGCGTTTATCGAAGGTTCATAGATGTTGGCGATTCGATATAAATTATAGGAATATTTGTACAACGATAGTATCGGTTTAACGTTTCCGAATAAAATATGAGTTACACGAATATACGTTTCGTTCCTCGTTCGTTCGTCGTCGAATAAAAAGGAGAAAACCGTTCGCATCGATGCGACGAATAACGTAAACGGCCGATAGATGTCAGGACGATGCAGTCTCCCGGGACGAAGAACGCGACGAAAGAGAGATGTCGCGGCGATCGCGGTCGACCGAAAGTTGGCGCTCGCAGTCTTTCCGTTGTCAATAACGGACACTGGCAGTATCCCGGCACAAAATCCCGGAAACGTCTCGTTCGTGAAATTGGACGAATCTCCGGATGCAAAAGTTCGAGTCGTAGCGTTATCGTTTTGGCGTGCGTTTAAATCCGCGGAAAGAGAGCGCGTTGTCGCGCAGGGCAGGCGACGTATCGTTTTAAGGAGAATTCGCGAAACGGGCGTGCCTTGGACGATCGGTGACGTCCCTGACGCGAAAATATACAACGACCAGAGGCGGCGAGTAACGACGGCGAGACTGCGACTGCGACTCGCGACTGCGACAACGACGGCCGCGACGACGACGTCGACGACGACGATCCCGATATCGAGAAGAAGGAGGAGAAACGGCGATAGCACGAGAACAGGAACGAGGAGAAGGCGTACAAAGAAAATAGAGCAGCGACAGCGGCAGCGACGGAGACAGAACGGTGACGGGAAGGGAAAAGTACCACGGCGGGGA